CGCCTCGGTCGGCGGCGGCCCCTGGGGTGGCGGTTGCCTCGTGCCCGCCAACGTTCGTTCCCCTGCCCGTCCTGGAGCTCCCGAGTTGCAAGCGAGCAACATACCTGCCGCGAGCTGATTCTGACTCAGATTTGTTCTTCGGCGTCGGGCTGGTCCCGGTGACACTCAGGACACAGGTTGGCGCAATGTGTGCATACCTCGTTGAGTTCGTCTCGGGCATCGATGGATCAGCACGCATTGACGCCAATAGACGTTTTGAAGACCCTCATTGGTCATTCGGCGAGCGCTGTTCAAGCTTGAGCGTCGCCAGCGGTGAAGGATCTGCCGCTATGAAATGATCTGGCGATCGAGAGGCCGCCGATCGTTCAAGGTTGAAGGATCGCGGTGGCCGTTGCCCTCGTCGCCCTCGTCGTGGTGGTCGCCAGCGTCGTCGCCGCCGTCGCCGCCATCGTTGTCGCTGCCGCCGCCGTCGTCGCTGTCGCCGCTGTCGTTCTCGCCGCCGCCGCCGCCGCCACCGCCGTCGTCGTCGTCGTCGTCGTCGTCGTCGTCGTCGTCGTCGTCATCAGCGACCGCTGCTGGGCGTCCTCCCGCGGCGGCGAGGCGCCGGCCCCCGGCTCCGACGGCCTGGCGGTGCCCGGCACGCTGCAGCCCGCGCAGCTGCAGCACCAGCAGGAGCGCCATCTCTTTTTCCCCTCCTCCTCCTCCTCCTCCTCCTCCTCCTCCTCCTCCTCCTCCTCCTCCTCCTCCTCCTCCTCCTTCCTCTCGTGCAAATATTAGTGGTGGTGGATAATTTGGCCCATCAGAACCATACAGTGGGGGGCCATTTCACGCAACACGCTGCTTGCCTCCAGGGTGTCCTGGTTTCTTGGGCTTCGATCGTTTTGCGATGGAGGGCGCGACGTTCCCACGCCAGAGATCGATGGAAGTCCTGGGGTCTCAGGGTTGGGGTTCTTTTGGAAGGTTTCTTTCGATCGGGCCCCTACTGTATGTCTGCTGCCTCTTCGAAGAAGAACAAAGAGCATAGCCATACACTTTCGCAGGTCCGCGCGGAATTCTTTGATCTGCGTCGGTCCCCCCTGGCGGCGCCTCCGGCGCCGCCCCTGGCGCGCTCCGCGCGCCAGGGAGAGGGGGGGTCCAGCGTCGACGCAGGAACTCGCGCGGACCTCCGACAGTTTATGTTTGTGCCGTTCCTTGTTGCTCTAAGCAGGGGTGGGAGGACCGAGGGGGGTGATGTCATGGCTGGGGCCACGGACTCTTTCAGATGTCATGACCTCTCTTTCTCTTTCGGAACGTCCCCTAGGCCATTGCTCTGTGACCACTTGCGAGCCCTACCCTGGCGGGTCCACCCAACGCTGGGGTATCGGACATCCCTGTTGGGTGTTGCTTGGCTGCGGGGACAGCTTGCAAATGTAGGGTTCGAAGGCCGTTGCCTAATTTGCGAGCCCCCCTCTTAGATGCTCCTCCTCCTCCTGGGCTGCTGAGCCGGGCCGGACGTGGCGGCGATCGTATCATGTGGACTGCTGGCGAGGAGTTAGCTGCTGCGAATCATGGCAGCAGCCACGCGGTGCCCTTGCCGACCCGCCCGCGCGTCCCTCGGGCAGCATGGCTCGGGCAGAGCTACCACGAGTTGACTCCGTTCCAGAGCGTTCCGCAACGCTCTCAGAGCTTCCCGCAACGCTCTGACAAGGCAGCGGCGCCTCGCACGTGCTCCAGAGCCGCCGGAACTTACATATTCTCAGTTGTTCGCTCTCGGTTTTGATAGCTTCGTCTTACAGTCGTGCTTGATTAGTAGGTCGACCCTTCCAAATCAAGGGCACCCTTGTGCCCCCTGTTTCGCGGCCTATGACACCGTTGCCTTCGGCAGGGCCTTGTGCGATGGGCAGATGTTCCACCGCCACTACTATCAGAGCAGGAGAAAGAGGATGAGGAGGAGAGTGAGGAGGAGGAGGAGGAGGAGGAGGAGGAGGAGGAGGAGGAGGAAAAGGAACAGGAGGAGGAGCTCCCCATCCTCCCTTTCTCCCCGCCGTCCTGCTTATGGTATTTGTGGTTGCGAACTGGGCGACGCAACATGATAGGGGTCGCCTGCGCCGACACTGGCGCGCAGGCTGCCCGCGCAAGGTCGCGCGAGAGCGCCCCGGTCTCTAAAGCTGTGTACCGCGCTGGCGGCGCCGCGTAATGGGGGGGTCATCAATGGGGGGGCGGCGAGCGTGGTCCGAAAAGGTACCCAAACAGTACCTAAACGAGCCCCCTGGGGCTCCGGAGGGGCCCGAAAAGGGGCACGAAAGGGGACCTTTTCTGACCCCCCCATTTGTGACCCCCCCATTAAGCCACGCCCAACGCGCTGGCGGCCCGCGTGTGAATCAAGCTGCGGCGCAGGGTCTCGGTGCCACCCCACCCGTGTTCGATCGTCGCCCCTCTGGCCCACCACCGTGCCTCGGAGGAGGAGCAGGTACCCACACCGCTACCCTTCGCCCGTTCTCTCCACGTTTTGTTTCTCCACTTTTTTTGTTGGGTTTCCTCGCGAGTTCTCTCGTCGCCACCACTGGCTTCGCCTCGAAATTCTGGTCAGGACGCACCCCGGGGGGTGGTCTGGGGAGCAGCGGTATCGGTACTTTTTGGCCTCCCCAGTGTCCTCTCGCGCGTCCTCCCCCAATCGAGCTCCAACGTGGCGCGTGCCGCGCCGGCGGCCCGCGTGTAAATCGAGCTGCGGCGCAGGGCCGCGGTGCCCACCATCGCCCGTGCTCGATCGCCGCTCGCCCGGCCCCTCGCGCGCGCCCTCTCCCGCGTCCTCCCCCCGACCGAGCTCGACGGCGGGTGACCCCCGCCCTGCCTCTCGGGGGAGCGCCTCCCCCCCCCTGCGATCCTCGGGGCGCACGGCGGCCGCGGCGGCGGCAGGCGCGGAGGCGGGCGCGGCGCGGAGCGGCAGGCCCTACAGAGAGGCCCGAGATGGCCGCCCTCGGCGGCAGGCGCGGGGTCGCGGGTCGACGACCTCGGGGGAGGGTCCCCGCCCGAGGACTCGGGATCTTCGACGACGGGCCGATCTTCCCACCACCACCACAAGAACTGGGAGAGGAGGAGGAGGAGGAGGAGGAGGAGGGCGCAGGAGGAGGAGGGCGCAGGAGGAGGAGGAGGAGGAGGAGGAGGAGGAGGGCGCCCGAGGACTCGGGATCTTCGACGACGGGCCGATCTTCCCACCACCACCACAAGAACTGGGAGAGGAGGAGGAGGAGGAGGAGGAGGACAGGAGGAGGAGGGCGCAGGACGGAGGAGGAGGAGGAGGAGGAGGAGGAGGGAGGAGGAGGAGGAACACGCTTCGTGGGCCGCGGAGACGGTAGGGCCGTTTTCCCCATCGCTCCCGAACACACATGTTTGGAACACGTCGTTATCCAAGCGTCGAAATCTGAAGACATCGCCGCTGGTCGGCGAAATCTGAGGCAATCGCCGCTGACTTACGAGATCAGGGAAGTCCAAGCTCCACGGTTCGGGATCTTCGACGACGGGCCCATCTTCCCACCACCACCACAAGAACTGGGAGAGGAGGAGGAGGAGGAGGAGGAGGAGGGCGCAGGAGGAGGAGGGCGCAGGAGGAGGAGGGCGCAGGAGGAGGAGGAGGAGGAGGGAGGAGGAGGAGGAACACGCTTCGTGGGCCCCGGAGACGGTAGGGCCGTTTTTCCCATCGTTCCCGAACACATAGATTTGCAGCATGTCGTTATCCAAACGTCGAAAGCATCCGCGCGGACCTCCAGAAGTTTTTGTTTGTGCCGCGTGTTGTTCCTGTATTCTCTCCCCCTTCCCCGGGGACCTATGGCGGCTCCAGGAGGTCGGCGCGGAGGCAGGGTTTCCTCGGTCCTTGGTGTGCCTTGTTCCATCCCCAGGGTGCTCTTCGGCAGCTGAGCCTCGCCGAGAGCGCTCCCGAAGTGCCTGTGTCGTCCTGAAGTGCCGCCAGAGTCGGCACCCAAACGGTGCGTTGACCACACATCTGGTTTGTCAGTGAGGATTCGGGGTGATCGAACGGCTTTGGGACCTGGGTGGTTCTCCGAGGGTTTCTAAGACGACTGGGTCCTCCAAGGTAAACAGTGCAGTGACGGACCGAGCGGTGAGGTCTTCGGGAATTCTGCCCCGTCCCCGTGTCTCTCGCACCCGCTTGTCTAGGCTGCTCGCTTGTTCCTCTCGGCGTGGCCTCTCGTGAGGTCATCGCCGCGTCAGAGGTAAAGCGTGTGTGCTTGCGCGCTTGTGTGTGCTTGCGTGTGCATGTGCCAGCGTGCACGCGTGCGCGCCTGCTTGCCTGCGTGCACGGTTTCCCCATCCCATTCGAGGGGTGACGCGAGACTCCGTGGGACTTATCCCGTGCTTCACCACCCACTAAACCTCCCCAACCCAACGCTCAACTTACCCTCCATTTCCAGGGGGGGTCGGGGAACAATGAAAAGGCATTGAACCCATAGTTACCCCCCCCAAGCCGAATTTGGGATCTTTGGGTTGGGTTGGTGTGGTCTGGTAGGCAGTCAGTGTTGGGGGCTTGTCTCCAGTCTGTAGCTCTGGAATCTATATGAGTGCTTCCGCCCGCAGGTTGGTACAGTGGCTTTGGGGGCCTCAGGCGACCGCGAGGGCAGGGCCACGCCGTCGCAGGAGAATCTACCCATATGTGTCCTCAATAATATCCGTCGAATCTCTCGGGGGCGCCCGACAGGGGCTCCTCGAGCCCAGAGCGAGACGCATCTGGGACTCAGAAGAGGAAAAGGTACCCACACCTTTACCCTTTTCTCGTTTTCCCCTTCTTGAGCCCCTCTGGAGGCCGTCGTCGCAACCTTTGGATTCGCCACGAAATCCTGGTCAGAACGCATTCTGGGAGAGGTCTGGGGAGTAGTGGTATCGGTACCTCGTGGTTTCCCCAGAGACCCTAAGCGTTGTCGCATAACTTCTCCGCTGCGATTTCTGCTCGAGTATGGCTCAATATTAGAGCGAACACGCACGCGAGGCCCGTGTGTGAGCGCCACGCCATGGCACAGACGGCAGATGAAGGCAAGGTCGTTGCAGTGTTGGCGGTTGGATTTGGACTGGTAGGCTTCGACAGATTTCTCATCTCAACCATGTTCCCCGTCATCGCTGCAGACATGGGCCTTGGGTACGCCGACATTGGAAGCATTGCCGGTGCCCTGTCACTTTCTTGGGGCACAGCAGCGCTGCTCTGTGGCAATTTATCCGATCGTGTGGGCAGGAGGCGTGTACTCGTTGGCTCATTTCTCATGTTTTCGCTTCTCATTGGTGCAAGTGGACTGGCCACCGGACTGTCATCATTAATTATGGTTCGTGTCCTGCTTGGTTTTGCTGACGGGGCGTTTACGCCAGCAAGCATCTCCGCGACGATTGAGTCCTCGTCTCCCGAGCATGTTGGCCGCAATATTGGTATACAGCAGATGATGTTGACGTTGTGTGGCTTGGGCATCTCGCCACTGGCAGTTGCCGCGCTTCTTCACGTGATGGATTGGCGCTGGGTCTTTTCAGTGTTTGTGATTCCTGCACTTCTGACTGCGTGGTTGACTGCACGAATAATTCCAGATGCGCCAGCTGGAGCGCACAACGAGAAGCAAGGCCCACTGTCAGATTTGAAGCTTGTGCTGTCTTACCGGAACGTCTGGATCGCAATGATGACATGCTGTGTTGGCTCGCTTGCCTGATCACGACAAGTGCCTTCATGCCAAGCTATCCAGCTGCCTGCATGCAGACCCGCCGCCGTGCCATCCCAGAAGGCTGGGTGGCGACTAGTCGAGGGGGCACGGGGTGCCGTCACGTGCGACACCTCGGGCCTCTTGAATGCCTTGGGGTTCTGTCGGGTGCCTCTTTGGGGCCTTTTGTAGGCCTCTGGGCGCTTTTGGGTCCGACTTGCGGGGCTCTCTGGGTCGTCTTGGGGCCCTCTTGGAGACTTCGAGGGTCCCCTTAGGCTGATTTGGGGTCCTCTTGGACCGCTCGTGGGCCATCTCGCTCGTGGGCCATCTTGAAGCCCTCGTTCGCCGTCTTGGGGCCTTCTTGAGGCACTCGTGGGCCATCATGAGGCCAGCTCGGAGGCTTCATTGGCCGTCTGGAGCTGAAGGAAGCCCGAGGCGATGAGATTTCGAACGCCAATCGACAGCATAAGCAATCAATGATTGTGGCCTGTCTGGGCGCTCCTGCAGGTTCTCTAAGCGCCCTCTCGGGCTGTTGTGAGGGCTTCGTGGGCCGTCTTGAGGCCAGATTGGGCCACCTCTGGGCCATATGAGCCCATCTTGGAGGTATCTTGGGCCACCTTGGTGGCCGTGGTGGCTTGCCTGGGACGTCTTGCAAGCCAGCTTGGGAACGGCCGACGCCCTGAAACGCGCCCAGGGAGGGGTCTGACAGCCCAGGGAAGCCGCGGGAAGGGGCGGGTCCTTCGGAAGACCGCGGAGACCCTGCTGGGCAGCACGTTGTATTCTACCACGCCTCCGCGTGCCCGGGGGACACGGTGGCGGATCTAGAGGACTACCTGCTCTTGGCCGAAGGTCAGATGGGGACGGTCATGTCCGCAATAGGGTTTGGTGCAACAGCCGGGACGCTAATCCTTCCATGGCTGTCCGACCGCTTGGGCAGAAAGCCGGTCATGCTCATCTCAGCTGCCGGCGCATGTTCTATGTTGTGGGCCCTCAAGTCTTCGGTCGCAAGCACGGTTCCCTTGTTTCTGTCTCTCTTCATGGTGCATTTCTTCAATAATTCCGCAATTACGCTCACGGTTGGTCCAGTTTGTTCGGAAGCGGTGCCGCCAGGTGTAATGGCTTCAGCAACAGGGATTGTGATTGCCGTCGGCGAGCTTCTCGGGGGTGGCCTAGCTCCGATTCTCGTGGGGCAGTTTGTTGAGCAGTTCGGAATTGAGTATCTTCTTTGGCTGCCCATCGCCTCAACATGTATCGGCTTCCTTGCCAGCCTGTTCTTGGAGGAGAACCACGGCCTGGCAGCCAGCTGTTGGGAGCAAGATGGCTCCGCTTCCGAGGGGGAAGAGGAGGACTCAACCACATAGGGTACCGACGTTACAGGGCCGTCTGCCTCGCCTGCTGATGAGAGTCGTCTCAGGAGCGCCCTGTCAATTTCGTGACTGAGCTGTCCGCTGCAAGAGCAGCTCACTTCTTCGAGCTGTACATGGTTCTAAGGTTTTGCGGCGATGCGCTATGGCGCATCTTCCGGCCAAATCTATTGTTTCCTCTCTTCTGCCTAGGTCCTAGGTAGGGGAAGGATTGAGAAGGGGCGGAACCAGCAGGTCGTTGGGAAGGGGTGGGGGTGGGTTGCTACGCACCGGCGTTGTGCAAGTACACGCCTCTCACCTCACAAGTGCAGACAAAACGACTACTACGCATACGAATGGCGTGGACACATGCGCCCACACACACACGCACACACACACACGCACACGCACACACACACACACCACACGCGCACACACGCACACACATACACACACACACACACACACACACACGCATGTACGCATGCATACACGTAACTTCACGTGCGGCCAAACACATATATACGTTAAATGTTATTTGGAAGCACGCGCATGCACACGGACATTCACACGTGTATGATCATTTGTCTGTGCCATAGACAACGTTAGGGCGACAAGGAGGTTTGGTGGATTGCCTTGCAGTTCAATTTTTATTGCGATTGCAGTGTGCTGCTCGTTTCGGCTTACGTTTGTTTGCATCGTTTGCAGTTTGGCTTGCACTTCAGTGTGCCTTCCAACTTGCAATACGATCGCGTTTGGATTCGAGTGCCGATCGGCATAGCTGTTGCGATTCGGCTTGTGCATGTTGATCTGCACTTCCCATCGGATCACCTCGAGACACCTGGGGGACGAGCGCGCATCCGTCCCACGGGACGGCCGCGGGACAACCCGCGCGGGACAGACACGCACAGGACAGCCTTGGCCCGCGGGACGGCCCGCGGGACAGCCGCGATTTCGGTTTTCTTAAATCTTGGTTTCGGTGTTTTTCCCTTCCCCTCCTCGTTCTCCTCATCCTCCTCCTCCCCCTCCTCCTCCTCCTCCTCCTCCTCCTCTCAGCCTGGAGAACGGCACCTCCCCCCGTTGTTCTCTTCTTCCCTCCCTTCCAGAGAAGGGGGCGCTCTCCCAGTGGCGGCTCGCTGCGGGGGGTCCCCTGGCCCATCGCCGTGCAAGAGAATCATTTTGAATTCGATTCTAGGTGTGTGGCGGCATGCGGTCCGCAGTCTGAAGCCTGCTCATGTGGTTTGCGGTTCGCTCCAGGAAAAAAAAGGAAACCAAAAAGAAACAACAACCAATGTTGTACGACGTCGCCCTGGCTGCGCCGATACATCGTCGCCCTCGTCGGCACGCATGGCACGGAATCCGGCACCGCCGCCGCCGCTTCTCCCCGTGCGGGGCCCTTTCGTTGTCACCCCCTTGCAGCCTCCGATGCGCCTGCGTACGCATGGCGACGCGAGGACGTCTGCAGGTCCTGCTTCCGAGTTTTCTCGCAGTCGATTGGGTTCGTCATTCTCGCCGAGCGCGTTCCACTACTCGCACAGGGCCCACTCGCAAACGTCTGAAAACATACACGTCCGCCTCGATGGAATGTATTGTGAATCCTGCGCGGGGGATCCAGATAACTCGGGCGCCCCATGCGAGGGGGCAATCACAGGTTGAGCACTGGTGCCTTGGTGGGGGAACGAGTAAATGCTGCTGCTTTGTTGCACGCATTCCGATCTGTCATCAGTGCCCCACTGGCGTCTTTTCTCGGGGGGGTGGGTTTGGGGCCACCTCTGGTAGCCAAGCGGACCAGTGTCAATGAATCAATGAAAGGACTCGTAGCAACGGGCCAGGCAGGGCCGTGGCAGCCCCGACGTTGCCGGTGACGGCCCCGCCCCCCCCCGTCCTCGCATCGTCCTCGTCTTTCCTCTGCGCCCCCCCCCCCCTGTCAGGGTCGCAGGAAACGCACGGGTGTCATTGGATTAGGGGGGATGGGGCTACGACACCTGCTTCGCGCAGTTGGTTTCGTCTCCGCCGCCAGGCGCTTTCATGTATACAGTTGACCCTCCAGCGCCGGAGAACTGGCTCTTTGCAGCTGGTTCTCTCACCGCCCCTGTGCTATATCCTCCTATCGTCCTCCCCGACCTTCTGGCGGGGGAGGTGTTCGTGAGGGCATCGTGCCCACGAGGGCTTTGCACGAGGGGAAATTGCGTGCGCGTGTGAAAAAGGAAGAAGGGGTGAAAGAGGGAAAGGGGAAGAGAGGAGGAGAGACGGTCGGGGAACGGGAAGGGCACGAAAGGGTAATAATCAGGGAGAAAGGAGGGGTACCGTGGTCTGTGTACATGTATTGGCCCATGTGCCATGCATGTTCTTGACACCGCGGTGGATGTTGTTGTTGTATGTATGTGCATCGTCGCTTTGGGTTTCCGCCACGAGACTTGCGTGTCTCAATCATCGAGCTGGTCTCATTATCGTTGCGTCGGCGTCGGAGCAACCAGGAACCTCGCGTCTCGCCTGATAATCCCTTCAGCGACTCGGCGTCACGTGTAGATGGGGCTGCAGACCATTCACAGTAGCCTGCATTGCGTTCACCGTCGCAGGGACCACCAGCCATTCCCTCCCATTCCCCTTCCACGCCCAGCCTCCTTCTGCCCCCCGTTGGTCCTGCAAGGAGGCCCCGCGCCTCACGCTGCAGCAGCGCCCGAAGGCGACCGTCCCCTCCATCAAACGAGAGAAGGATAATGATGCTGATGATGCTTTTGATGATGATGCTGATGATGATGATGCTGATGACGATGACGATGACGATGACGATGATAATGGTTATAGATGATGATGGTGATGATGATGTTGATGCTGATGCTGATGCTGATGATGATGATGCTGATGCTGATGCTGATGCTGATGCTGATGATGGTGAAATGCTCGCCTTCCGTTCCAATTCAGTTTTTTCAGCAGCAGGGGTTGCATTCTGGTTCTTACGGCGACGACGAATACCATCCCCCCCAGAGCTGCCCAGGGCTTCGCCCTGACCGAGATCCCGAGGCGGATCTGGCCAGAGGGTGCCGCAACCAAAACCGGACTCCCAGTCGACGACGGCGACGCCAACGACGACGATGACGACGGCTCGCGCGCAAGGGCAGGCGACGACGGCGACGACGTCGACGACGACGACGATGTCGACGACGACGTTGACGACGACGACGACGATGACGACGACGACAGAGACGACGACGTCTCGACGACGACTTCTCGACGACGACGACGACGACGTCTCACCGCCTCGCCGCCGACGGCGCTGGCGACGCCCGCGACGACATCATTGCCGCCGACGACGACCTCGCCGCGAGGGCATCTCCAGCGCCAGCGCCTGCTGCCCCCCGGGGTCGACGGCCGACGGGACCTCCCGCGCCGCTCCGCCGCGGCGCTCGCGCGCGCGGGCGCGCGCGCGGAAGTCGCAGCAGCGGGGCTCCCAGGAGGAGCAAGGTTTCGCCGCTGTTTCACGTTTTCCCAACTTACGGATCTAGCCTGCAGCGTTCTTTGCCTCGCTCGCCGCCTCCTGCTCCTCCTGCTCCTCCTCCTCCTCCTCCTTCTCCTCCTCCTCCTAGTTCTCCTTCCCCCTCCTCCCCCCCTCCTCCTCCTCCTACTCCGTCTCCTCCGTAGTTTTTGTTCGTCGGATCTTAGGGTCGGAGTCTCTATCGAAGAAGAATCAACTGCATAAACATAAGCTTTCGGAGCCCCGCACGGGTTTCCTGGATCTGAGCTGGGCCTCCCTATTGGCGCCATTTGATCCGCCCTTGTAGGGGCGCCGTGTAGGGGTATCGGCGACAATCCAAGAAATCTGCGCGCAGCCCGAAAGCTACTGTTTCTGCATGCTTTCTTCTAGTCCAGAGTCCCAAGAATCCAGCAGAGGCATTCTGGATCAGTCACGGCGCTTTTCGTTCATTCGGGCCTCTGGAGGCCGTTCTCGGTCGGGCCCACGGGGCAGTCAGAGATGGGTCATGGAGCAATGGGAGAGTTGCCTCTAATCAGGGAGCGGCCGCGGCTTCCTGGGGCCGCAGGCTGAACAAGTCGCATCGTCGGATGTTCGGGAAGGGTGGAGGAAGGAGAAGCAGCAGCACCATCAGCGGGTCACTTCTGGCGTGGAGGTGCGCCATACCTCCCCGAGTTCGAGGATGGGGACGTCCCGAGCGGGACGCCGCAAAACAGGAGGATCGCACCACGCCCCTTGCCGCTCAACGATGTGCTGTCAAGCAAGCCTGCAGGGCTGGCCCTCTCCACTGTTCTGGGCACTTCAGCTTGGGCGCTTCGGCCTCACCTGTGGGTGCACCGCGAAGCGCACTCGGGCCAGCGCACCCGAATTGGTTTTCCTCGCAGGCCTAGAGGTTGACACCAGCACCAACATCGGCGGTGTGCCTCCACCGAGGGAAGACGACCCCGATCTCGGTGATAGTGGTAGTATTGTGGTTTCCAACGTGACCGAAGTATTACCACCAACGCCGAAATCCAGGATCATCTTCCCCGTTTGGAGGCAACCCCCTTGTGTTGGTGTTGGTGCTCGTTTCCAGGCCTCCAATTCCCGTTCACTTGGGCGCCCCCCCTCCCAGGCAGGAGGCCGAGGAGATCTCACCCCACCAATGGCTCATGGGACTGATCAAGAGCACCGCGCTCTGCACCTCCTCCTCCTCCTCCTCCTCCTCCCTCTCCCTCTCCCTCCTCCTCCTCCTCCTCCTCCTCCTCCTCCTCCTCCTCCTCCTCCTCCTCCTCAAGAGCACCGCGCGTTGCACCTGGAAGCGTCTGCAGAACGATCCGCGTCGGGGCTGTGACGAGGCTGTGACGCATTGGCACGCAGCGTTGCGGATGAGCGGAGAGGGGGGGAGGGTGAGGTGGACGAGTTTGAATGAGGTTGGGCGAGACGGAGAAGGATGAGAAGGGAGTAGGAAGGTGATCGCCTTCCATTCCCTTGAGTCTGCATCTGTACGTTCTGATGGGGAGGTTGGCCTGCCCTGGGCAAGGCAGGTCTGAAAGCGGCAGGCCGT